GCCTCCCTCCCTCCTCCTCCTCCTCCTCCTCCTCCTCCTCCTCCTCCTCCTCCTCCTCCTCCTCCTCCTCCTCCTCCCCCTCCAACCGTACAACCCGAACCGTTCGCTGGCCGGACGAGAACGCCGCAAGAGCTTTACCCTTGCTACCTAGTCCTCCTTGGGGTACCTGCTGGACACTGCGACCTGATCACAAATCCCCTCAATGTAGTACCTGCTCCTAAGCTCGTTCTTCCCCGGGCTGAGAAAGTAGTCGTGGTACAGTCCGCGCGCTCTGGTGTAGATGAGGTGCGCGGCCATCCTGCACTGGAGGCGCCCCTTGGCCCCAATCGGCATCTTCTTTGGTCCCCTAAGCCAGGCGTCGAAGCTCAAGTCATGCACCAGGTCGTTCTCGTGCATCACCGCGCTCAGGAATTTGACGACTTCCTCTTCATACCTGGCCTTGGGCTTGTTGGCCAGGTCGTCGGGAAATTCGATGAACTGATAGAAGGTCGGATAAGGCCTCTGGTGACGGCCTAGGTAGTCGACCTGGTCGTAGAACGTTTCGCATAGCGCCGCCACGAAGATCTTTTCGCCGGCGGCGACTTTCGGGATTTCTGGTTTGTCGCGGCGGCCATCTTGGCTGGATCCGCGGGGAGGACCTTGGTTTGAGTCGACAGAGAGGAAGCTGAATAGCAAATATGAGATGATCACGACGCCGAAAAGGCCGAACGTGATGGGGTTGAACATTGTGGTATGGATAGATGATGCTTGGTGTGTTCGTGTTGTTGTAGGAGTAAAACTGGCTCGGCTCAAGAGGCCCAGCGGCAGGACTATTTGTAGGCAAGCTAACCATTTCTCGCTCCCATGGACGCTAGGTCCGCTCACCTTTGCATCCAGCTGAGGGCTATGCATCTGGCCTCCCCCTGTCACTGTCACCGATCCGGGCCACAGTCACCGAGAGTCGCCAGCTACGCCGGGCCAATGGCCTTTTGGCATCGCCACGGTGCTTAGGATTCTAACGCAGCAAGCAGGCGCTCTGCAACTCCTGCACTCCTTGCCTGGGCCTTCGTTTACAGTATCATGCCTGGTAAAGCTGGGTGCCCATCCAAAACTCGTCTACCCTTCAGCTAAATAGACCCGTTTTCCAAACGCTGGCTGGGCTGGTCTTAAAGTAGGCGGATAGGCCCGCCGAAAAGCACTCCCTCAAGTTTTTAATTTCTAGCGAGAAGATGAATCCCCCCAGCACGCAAGCGCCAGGGGAGACTCCACTGGCCTGTCTGCCACAGGCAAGGCGCGTGCAAGGCCGGCCTCAGCAACGCCACCAGTATCACCCCCTGTCACCTGCCACGCCCTTGAACCGCCCCCGCGCCCTCAGTCATGTCAAGCCCGAGACCGAGGATCGAGAGGTTCACGACAACCATGACACCGTAAGGACCGTTGGCATGACCTACACAGTGACGTACGATCCCAGGGCCGGCATAGATGTCGCCAAACTCGTCACGGCAGAACACAACCAGTCGCCACATTCGGCAACACCATGACCGCCAAAGGCAGCCACGAAACGAGCTCCAGCAAGACGGCCGCCATCTAGCCGGCTGGCGCCGCAGGTAGAGGCCATACAGCCGTCCTACAGTACCATGTTCGCCTGAGAGGACCATGGGCGATGCCTCTAGGGACGCAAGCCGGACCCGCTGCTGCTCAACACTACCAGCACGGTGCTCAGGGTCCAAAGCTCGCTCCCCTAAAAAGCGCCACCTTCCCGCACGCTCATTGGCATCCGGCACTCCCTCTTTTCGGCGAGGCCGATTTCGAGATCCTTTTTTGCTGCGCCTTTCCCATCCCTCCACCACTGTGCGGCAGCCGCCTCGTTACCAGAAGCCTGTCGGTCGTCCAAGTACGCCTCACGCAGCATACGCGTACGCAGGCAGCGATCACCAGGTCGCTCCCACCCACGGTCCATGGCGGGACATTTCGCAGGCCGGCCCGGGCCCTGCCGAGGTCGTCCTGGGCCCCTCCCTTATGGGCGCGGCAGGCTCGTCCAGCTTTGCGATAAGCCCTGAACTGAATGATTCACACGCCGGGCGCGCCTTGCAGTACGCAATCGCTAACGAGGCCGAAGCTCACGCGCGGCAGAGAGAGGATGTGATGTTTTCGAGCATATTCCACCAAGTAAACCAAACAATCGCCGGCATATGTCATCGGCGTATCAACAACCAGGTCAAGCCGGGCGACTTGACCTTCCCGGCCGCGCTGGAGACGCTTGCCTACATTTTGCGACGAATTAATTCGGTGGGCCTGCGGGACGAAGCCGGGCAGGCGAACCAATACCTTTTGTGCCTGCCCCTTTCGATGCTGTCCGGCGTCCGGCAGCCGTTCGGCCTCGTGCGCGAGCCGACGCCCCGAGAGCTCGCCGAGTTTTCGCTGTGCTTCGGGCCGACCACGCGCGCGTTCGAGAAAAACCGCTTCGGCGACGCCAAACGCAGCCAGGTCCTCGTGGACAAAGAGGAGACGCAAAACATCGCGGCGGTCGCCATGGGGCTGATGAACGCCGTTGTAGGCAAGCAGGCTGGCCATGCCAACACCTGGTTGGTTGTTCCCGTCAACGGCTTCGACCCTTCGATCGCCCGGGTACTGGCAACCAAACACGCTACGTGGCCGCTCAACTCTGCGCCTTGGTGGAACCTCTCGTCGATAGTGACCTCGCCGAGCTTTACAGCAGCCCCGACAATGCCATTCTAGTTTTTTTTCCTACCCGTGCGGCTCCTAGCCATTAAACTCCTTTTGATGCCCCCCCCCCCCCCCGCCGCGAGCACTTGGCTTAGGTTAATACCTTGAGCGGGCTCTTGTGGTTCGGGGCTTACTTAGTTGTATTCGCCTTGCTATTTTTTTTCTCCTGTTTTTGCCGTCGCATTTCATCCCTGACAAAATTGAATCCGAAGCCTCTCCATTGCGCATGCGCGCTGCAGCAGGGTCGACTGTACCGCCAAGCTGGCGGCGTACGAGGTGCTGTAGTGCTTCAAGTCCGTCCTGGACCCGGTACCCGAGGTGCTCGTCAAGCATGCCCACCGAGCATTCCGATAAAAGTGGTTGATGAGCTGGGTGTAGCCTGTGCTGCTCGGAACCCCCATTTATTTGCATACCTCTTATTTCTATGCAGCTCTCTCATTTCCTTCTCTCCTTACTTTCTCTCTCTTTTCCTTCTCTTTAATCCTTCTTGACTCCTTCTTTTAACCCCTTCTTGTGGCTTTTTCTTCTTCTTTTCCTTTGTATGTTTTAGGTGTAGTTAAACAAATACAACGGATTCACAGCAATGGGCTCAAAGATTGGCGTTTTATAAACACATATTCTAAACTAATCTTGCCCCCCTCTGTAGGATTTCAAAACATAATGAAAAGTTAATGAGATAAATTTATTTCGTTCCTGGAGCAGTTTATAAGGATAATGAACGTTGCGGAGAAAGCCATCGTACGTCGAAAAGAAAATAAAGGGCCCGGGCAAGGACGAACGGGGTGGGCCGCCAAGGAATGGGCACCAACGAGTGGGATATTACCAAGCCCTCGGCTTTGTAGTACAAGATGCAGCACTAGGTAGGACAGACAAGCAGCTTACGCGGTGAACTAACTGGCGATGGATGCACGCCTATTGCATCGGCATGCATATTGACGACAAGCAGAGGTTACGCTCGCTCCAAGATACCTAACTGCAGCTTGACTGCCGATACGCAAGGCGCCGACTCGGACAAAACTGTGTGGGCTGAACTGCCGCGATTGTCTCCAGCTCGATCGGCCCCGCCCCGATGAAGCTGCGCTGGCGACAAAGCGCATCGCTCACCACCCGCGCGTCGGCCCAGCATCCGAGCCCGCCTCCCCTCCAAAGTCCGCAACCACCGCTTCCTTTGATCAAGCAACGGCCGCCATTAACAGTCTTGGTCATTCGCCGACCGGTGCCGCCGCCCGAGCGGCCCGCCCTCCAACCGAGCGAACCACGAGCCTTGGCCGATGGCAACCCAAAGCCGACCTTTCCAAGTCCCGCCGCACCATCTTCGAGCGGCCCAGCCGTCGTTTGCTTGACATGGAGGCAAGCTAGGCAAGCCGATAAGGCGTGGAGGCTAGCGCTTGTGCGAAACAAGGTCGAGGCGGCCAATGGTCGTCGACTGCGACACGAAGGGCAAGAATGTGCCTGGCTGGTGCCTGGCAGCCGAAGCGGCGACGATTATCGCCCTCCGAGGAGCTGCAGCCTGGTTGCTTTTCAACCTGCCAGGCCATGACCGCGCCGCCCCAATCCATCCCCGACCAACGCTATCGACCCGCGACACAAAGCCCTTGACCCTTGGAGCACCAGGGGCACAAGAGCGATGGGCAACTTGGCCATGGGCGATAAGCAGGCAAGTGGGCAGGGCGGGATGCTCGAAGCCGCCAACTCCGCCGACCTTTTGTTTTCGGGGTGTTCGTTTCCTCCTACTAACATTAACTGGCATCTCCTATTACAGTGGCTTTTCTGGGCCTCGCCGAACTGCGCTTACGCACATAACCGTTCCCCGCCTCCTATTACGGCCCAGCACGTTCCCTATACCCGCGTCGCCTCACGCGCGAGCCCCCCTGGACCAAAACGCAACAAGCGCAAGAAGAGCGGGCCACTGCTTACAGAAAGGGAGGGTATCAAGGCCGACAGCTCCTGCGGCCGATCCAACCTCCAGGTTATGTCCATACGGCTCCAGCTGGTTGAATTTTAGGCCGCCCGGGATCATCGACAAGCCCCGGACGTGCGACAAAGCGGCCGGAGGTTACGCAGCAGGATCTCTCAGGGCCTCGGTGGGTCGCGCAGGATCCTGATAACGGCGTCAAGGAGCTGACCCGCCAGATAATCAAGGAGATATGGATCTTCCCCTTTTGCAATGTCGATACGTCGGTAGCCGAAACGAAGTCCCTTGCGCTACGATGGGTGGGTTTATCAGACTTTTTCGTTGCAGAAGAGCGAGGTGGACAAGGTTCGCGCCGCATAGCTCCTGAACCCGTGCGACGGCGATGGCGAGCGAGATACATCTCCAAAGTCACTCGACTTCCTGAGGCGGTATCTGCGCTGGGATCTGGACGGCTGTCTTGTCAAGCCCGAAGAGGTCATTGCCCACGATCTTTTCGCGGGCCTGAAGACTCCGATGCTAGTTTCTCGGATTGCTGCTTCCCGGTACGGGTCTCCGACCAAGCGTCACAGGCCTATCAATCTCCCGGCCCCTGCCTAATTCCCGGGCTGTAGTCCCAGGGTCTTGCCGGCGCCAGCCCTCAAAAGCCGGCCAGAGTCACGAAGGCACACGCCGCGTGTCCAACAAATCGGATACGAGCACCATCTCGGACAGATACAATCCCTACATTGGCTTGTTTAGGCCCAAGGAGGACAACGACTTGGCCATTTTGAAATGCTGGTTAAAGGAAACACGCAGCGGTGCGAATAAAAAAGGAACGACAAGGGGGGAACATACAAGAAAAACAACGAGCCAATTGATACATTTAGGTATTACAAGTGGCTCCGCCATCGGCCACGTACATTCCTGCCCTAATTCTCGGCCATTGCCTTGTTTTTTTCCTTTCGATGTTTTTTATATCAACACTCCGTGCGACTTTAGCCCCTCGTTGTGCGAAACCCACTCCCACATCTCGAGGACCACAAGCTAATGCCATCTCGGGACTATCCCGATAGCCCAAAAGCAATGACGTTTGCGTGCCTTGGTGGTAGGCGTTGTATCATTAGCGCCTGCAAGCATTTCATGGTCGCCAAGCTTTACAAGCTAGCCACTTTGGTTCCTTTTATCGGCATAGACGACCGGGCGAAGCTGAAGGTTGGGAACGGGTGGTGGCGGCCGGTTTTTAGAGAAACGAACTTTGGAGGAAAGAGGTAGCTCAAAATCCTGTTATTTTGCTTGTGCATTTTGTCAAACGCTGCCTGGGGAAGAAGAGCCGGGAGAGTTCTGGGCCGCCGCGGCGGGGCCTCGGGGGTCGTTGTCGCCGTACCTGGGCCGGAAGCTCCCGTCGTTCTATTGTGGGTATCGGACGGAAACACTACGGTAATATCCGGTGCGTTAAAAAATGATAACGAGAAAGGCCGGAAACAAAATAGGAAGGGAGAGAAATCACAGGGATCTCGGCGCATATGAACAGAAAGGGGGGATGGCAGCAAAGAACTGGGCACGAATTCGACTTTTGCGTCGCCTACAGGCACTTGAGCCTGCTGTGGAGGAATATAGATACAATCAAGCCATCCTCTAGCATTTGCAACTTGGCTCGTCGCCGCTGGATATCAACGGTGAGCGCGGTCTTTTTCTGCAATGCTCTTCTTTCGCATGCTTCTCAGCTGCCATTCCTGGCCCCCACGCAGACCCTATAGCGCTGCCGCTGCCGCTATGCCTGGGCAATGGCATTTCCTGTCGACCCAAGTTCTTATTAGTAAAGTAACCAGTCTTTGGAGGGTTTTCCGACGTGTCGTGAGGCGGGGCCATATCGTGAGGCAAGGCCATGTCGTGGGGCGAGGCCATGTCGTGGGGCGAGGCCATGTCGTGAGGCGAGGCCATGTCGTGAGATAACGCCGGAAGGGAGGTCATGTCGTGAGGTAACGCCGGAAGGGAGGCCATGCCGGGAAGCTCGTCTAACACCTCCCGCGCTAGAGCCCGGGGCCGATGGTGGCTGTCTACACGGTTGCTTGAACGCGTTGCCGTCGCCCACAAGCTTGGGTCGTAAAGGTCGAATGGGTCACGGCAAGGGGGCGGCGGCGGCGGCGGGTAAATTCGGGGATCAATGCCTTTTATAAAGTCAGGCCCGTAGACGCCCGAGCCGTAATGCGCGTTTACGTAAAGGAGCAGGTTCTCGAAGGACATGTTGCCGCACAAGCTTATAAAAGCTGTGTGGACCGGATCGTCATGCCCGCGGCTGAGAGGGTGCGGCGCATGTCTGATGATACCCTCCCGAATCTCCCGCAGCTCCTGCAGCCGCTGGTTACTCCGGACAGCCAGCCTGCGATGGAAGTCTTCGAGGTCGTCTGCTTGGTCGGCGATGGAGGAAACATCGTAGTAAAAGGCACGCTTGGATTGGATGTTGCAGGGAACCGTGTTGTACTGTTGATACAGTTCTTTAAAGGGACTTTCTTGTTCAGGGCCGAGCTTGGCCGCGTTCCAGCGCCAGCCGGCGAACTCGTAGTTTGCAGAGGGGGAGAACCTACCGTCCATTGTCGAAGCCAGCGGCAAGGCAGCGCGAGGCAGACGCCCAAGCAAGCGTGGGGGTGGGCGGCTGCGGTCAAGGGTGGTCTCTAGGGCGGCGGCGGTCGGTCGGCAGAGAGAGCGGTCGGTCGGCAGAGAAAGCGGCTGCTGCGGCCAAGATAAGCGACAGGTCGTGCTGGCCCCTGGCTGTTGGCTTTTTTGAGTGACGAGACCACGCTCGTTTCGGCACTTGTATATGGTGGTTGGGATTGGCGGAGCAGTTGCTTTTGTGGGGCACTTCCCATACCACCAGGAGAACAAACGACTTGGGTGGGCTTCACGCTCACAACTAAAAACATTACCCGAACTACACCAGGTTCGCAGCTATTCCCTGTTTCCGCTGCTGCTAAATATCCGGAATGAGTGCGACCGGACCGCCAAACTACTCTGACGGGGTGAGAAGGAGGGCCAACGAATTCGCTGGCCAGGAAGAAGCAGAGGCGAGAATCAACGGTAAGTGTTTGCTCGATGCCGGGGCTGGCCATCGCAAGCTTTCTCGTGGAGTCAGGCTGACCTTTGGGCAAACAGAGGAAGCGCATCCCGACCCCGACTGGCCCGTTTGGCTTGACGATCATGCTGCCAGTCTGGTCGAGAACCTGGCCACGCGCGCCAGCAACCAGCTTGCGTTTCTCAGAAAGGCCTGGCAATTGCTCAAGGGACCGCTGCTATGCCTCTTGTCCTTCATCACGAAGCCCATCCGCTTTGTCCTCGAGCGTTTTCTCAGCCGCCTCGTCGACATAGCGATTTCCTGCTTGATGCTCTGGGTGATATGGACATGGTTCAGGCCGTGGGCTTGGATTACGGCGATGGCGAGGGCGCTTTGGAGCGAGCTTGGGCCTGGTGTTGACGCCTTCATCCCTTCCAACCCCTTCACTGTTGGCCGGTACAAAACATCCAGCGCGAAACCGACCCAGTTTCCATCGGCGGCCGATTTGGGAATTCTTTCTGTCGGGCACCTCGACAGCCAGCAGATGACCAGCGATCTAGCTGCAATGGCTTTTGCGAGCTTTACGTGGACTTGGTCTTCGATCTGGCATTGGCGGAGCCTCGGGGCCTATATCAAAAGCGCAGCAGCGCTGGACACCCAAGCGCTGGACCTCTACAACCATCGGCTTTCAGTTGCGCAGGAGTCGTATGAGCTGGGCGTCCTGGCGCGCAGGTCGGGCGGAGAACAAGACGACCTGGCCGTCACAGTCCTTCGGAATCTGCGCTACCACGCCGAGATGCTCTCGATCGAGGTGGGCACGCTGCTCGGCAAACTGGACGGACTAGAGGCCGCTATTGCGGGCGTCGAACACCATCACACGCAACTGATGGGCCTCGTGTGTCAAGACGAGCTCGTCCAAGACGAGCTCGCCCAGTACAAGGAGCTGGGCCGCCGCCGCGAGCTGGTGCAGGACGGGGGTAAACGGGTCAACGAGGCCCAGGGCCGCGAGTCGAGCGAAGCAAAAAACCAACTCGAGGCTCTGGTCCGAGACAAGGAGGAGGCTCAAGACAAGGGGGCACGCGGAGTGGTGATGTGCACGGCGGCAAAGTGGTACCATGGCAAGATCCGGGAGCTCCAAGGCACGCTTTCCGGCAGATTTTGCGCGGACAAGAACGGGAGGCGGCCGCGCCTGGGCATCAGGAGAATCAACGAGGCGCTACAGAAGTGCCTGCGCAAGCAGATGACGGAGATGACCGTGTGCCTCAGCGCCTCGGCTCGTACCTGGTGGCCGTGGCAAAGCGCGCATGGAGGCGAGGACCGCTGCAACTCTGCGGCGAGCTACCTGCGCGGCGACAATCTGGTCGCACTTAGACGCTGCGCCGACACTTACCACAGCAGGTGCCTCGACGCGGCAAAGAAAGGACTGTGCGGCGAGTAGCGGGCTAATGGCGTAAGAAGGGGCGGTTCGTCCCGCTTTGGTGATCGCGGTCGGTTTCTATTTGTTTTTGTTTTTTGTTTTTGTTTTGGTTTTTGGTTTTTGGGTTTTTGGGTTTTTGGGTTTTGGGGGGTTTTTTTTGGAGCCGGCGGTTCAACACCGGCCCGGCGCCGGGTCGCGAGCGCAGGGGTTTCCTCCCTAAGCACAACCCAAGGGTTTTTCCCTGCGCACAGAACATGGTATCAATAAATAATTAATTTCGCTCTTATTTGTCGCTTCTGCTTTTTTGTGTGAGCCGCCGATGGCTGATTTCCCTGTTCGACTGACGTTTTGTGCTGTGGTTGATTCCCGTTCGGTGCTTTTGGGCTGTATTTGCGCAATTAGCGTTGGCGGGGCAGCCAGCAGTGCCCACCTCGCGGGGTGGCGGGTACTGCCGCAGCGGAGCCGCAGCCCGTGCGCGATGTGGGCCAAAGGCGCGCGTTGATGTCGTCGAACCTATTTAGCCTTACCTAGGGCGATACCACCAATATGAACTCGCTTCGCCTGTTAGCCACCGGCCTGTCCTCTGCCGAAGTTTTTATGGCTCGGCCCGTAGCACAACCGCGGCGAATGCGCGCCCTGTTGACTCCCCCTCGCTTCACACAGCTTCGTTCGACGACTCGGTAATGCTAACCGCCTATTGGCCGACGTAACATTTTCCCAAAATCGTTTCGATGAGCGCCTAAGCGCCTCCCGCCACCACGCGACAAAGATCCCCCGGACAAGTTCGACCGCCGCATTGCCCCGCGCCCCAAACAGATACTGCTTTGCGAGGTTACGCCCAAGCGGGCACGTACGTACATGCCACGGTTTTTTTTTCTTACCTCGGCAGTTTTACCCCGATCAACCATCCTGCGCAACGCCGCGTGTCCGGGCACGGCGCTCCAGAGGCTTCGAAATACCACGCGCCCAAAACAAATACTTAAGCCTCGTGCCTGTTGGATATGCAGATCAGAACTCGCGGCCTGGGCTGGTAAAGGATCTTCCGATCAGACTCTGTACTACATGGCACCCAGACGTCCGTCTCGCTGCCTGGCGGACACTAGATCAAGTTCCGCGTTATCCTCTTGGCCGCCAAGCGCGCCGCTGGATTTGTTGGAAGCCAAGAATACCAAGCACAACACTACATCCACCCCGTCTGCAGCACCTACGGCGCCACCAACCTGGCCCCCGAACTGCTAGGTCTCGCCAAAGGCGCTGTCGGCTCAAGCTCTCATGCAGCAGTCCGACTACGGCTGGTGCCCAAGACTACCACTTGTAAGGAACTGCCAGGCCCGACTTGCCATGGCCGACGTTTTATTATTATCCCGGCCCTCTAGCACAGTCGGCCCTGGAAACAAGCGGTAACTCGACGTAAACCGACTTTGGTTGGTTGGGGCGGCGCTTAGGTACCAGCACAGCTAGCTAGGTAGTTGCATCATGTCATGGTTCAATGGCCGCAAAAATGCCTGCCCAGAACGCCTGTTTACATCGCAGATGGTCATGGCATCGCCCAACACAAACTCTAACCTCGCGGGCACGTGGGCGTTAAATTAAATTCGACCCCTAACCAACTTTTCCGCGTCGAGCCATCTTCCCAAGCGAAATGCGCCCAACCTGCAGTCCAACTCGCGCCGCCGCGCTTCCGGGCTGCGGTCGCCCTGCTTGGCGATTTTGTCGGCCTGCCGGTGCAGAGATTCCACAGTACTTTCCCCATGTGAAAACACATCGGCAACATTGCACTGTGGTTGGTTTACAAACGGGTACCCCTCGTGTCCCCGCCGGATCCGCCCCTCGTGGCACATGCCCTTATTGACCTTAGCCTTTAGCTCATGGCTGGAAACACCCGACTAAGCAAAGCGGCGTTGTGGGCCGGTCCGTCCGGCGCTTGGCGATGCGGGGAGCCCCTCGTCTTTCCATCCGGGATCGCTTTCAAGGACCCGAAATAAACACCCAGTCCACGCAGCCTTTCAGCGACCAGGAAGAGTTCCGTCGACGCGTGGACCAGCACATCGCCGAGTTTGGAGATGGGGCGGCGAGGGCAGCCGAGGACGCGCCTCAGCCATTTGGTTCCCCGATGACCCCTGCCGCCCTGGAGGCGGGCGAGATAATCCGAGCGTTCGAGGCCGCGTCGCTCGCTTCACTGCCCAACGCCCGGCTCATTCTCGCCGCGGCCATCTGCCTGGAGGGCAAGGCTTCCCCCGCTGTCGTCCGCCTTCCCGAAAGCGTCGGCTCCTGGGGCGTGGTCGGCGTTGTGCAGCACCCGCACGACGTCGACTTCACCCTCTGCATCCCCTTCCACGATCCTCCGGTCCCGAACCCTGCTGGCCGTTCCAGGCTTATACCCTACTACCTCCGCGCTAAGATATACTACGACCCCGCCAGCAATATATCTTCATTTTTTTCTGCTAATACGGCGTTACTGATGAGTCCACCGCCTTTATAAGACCAACATTATGTCCCTCGAAGCTTTCGATGGCTGACTGTTCGCTTTGTACCTCGAGCTACTCCCCAATTCCCTCAATCGGGGTAACAATTCTCCCTTTACCGCCCAGGACGCCGGTGTCATCCTCAGGGGCCTCTCCTCCGCCCTCCAGTATCTTCAAGGCCAAGGCATCTGTCACAATAACATCAAGCCGGCAAATATTGCCTATTCCACTGCCCGCGGTGCCGTCCTTCTCAACTTTGGCCTCGCCTCGTCAGAAGGGGACAGCAGAAAAGCCGGAGGTTCGCCATGGTATGCACCGCCCGAGGCCCTAAAATGACGGCGTAGCTTTCCTGGGGACGTATAAGCTTTAGGATTCACGATGCTCTACGTTCTAGCCAAGGTGACGCTTCCCGGCCAGTCGGAATATTATTGACCATCGCCAATATTCGGAATGTGAGGTCAACTGCTGGAAACAAGATGAAGGAGTGGGTGGGATTGGTTGGTGAAGCTAGGCGCAGTCTGGACATTCAGGGCACGGTGGAACGAGTCGTCCACTTGGCGCTTGAGGCCAAGGGCTAGGCCACCTGGAGACGTCCAATGGCACCGTCCTCGGCGAGACCGAGACGCCGGCTGTGGAGCTTTCCGAGGCCTACATTTTTCGAGATGGGCCTCTGCGTGGCAGGATGCCTTGTGGCTGCTTCCCTGCCAGCTGTTGGCGGGGATTTCTACTGGCGCCGCAAGAGACTGTTGCCTTGAGTCTTGACGCCGGCGACGGGTGCCACCCCTGGTAGAACAACATGTTGGGTACCGCACCTGCAAGAGAGGGGTATCATTGTATATAAGGAGGGCACAATGCTTACGGCCGTGTGCCCGTCTTCCCTTGTCTTCAGAGATCTAGATAAGCCTACAATAAATCCTATCTTGCACCTTTTGTCCGTTACACACCCTGCACCTGTGGGCGGTTAAAGGCCCGACGGAAGCTGGGATGTCGGCGGTCGATAGCGCAGACCGGCGGCGGGGTGACGGACTCGACGTGGCCGTACTAGCGCGTCATGGCCACTTAGTCCATATTTCCGGCTACGTTACGCATGTTGTTGTATGCTTGGGGTGCTGACGTGGGGCTTGGGGCTGTGCTTTGTTTTTAGGGGTAAGTATAAGTGGGAGTGTGAGGAAGAAGGGATGAGGTCGGACGGCCAGACAGGACGGAGAGTTGAGCGATCGGGCCGTTTTATTGGTGAATTTTTCTTTCTTTCTTTTCCGATTTGAGAGGCTGGGGGCAGGCAAGAGGGCGTCAATGCTACTAGCGCCCGGTGTCACCTCGCCGACTGAGCCGCCCCGCGCGTTGCGGGATGCTGCCGTGGAAGCCGACAGAGGACCGCGGCCCCTTGGAGAGGCAAAAAAAGCTGCCCGCAGGTGCTGCCATCGCTGCCACCCCAGGAGGCGCCGCCGTGCCTGCCGATGTGCCTGCCGCCGTGCTTGCCGGGGCTACTCTTGTCAGCGGTTTCGGCAACGCTAACGCGCCACTGACGGTCTCGGTCCCAGTAGCCGCAAAGACCTGGGTCAAGCCTTTGACTGTTGGTGCTGCCGCCAAACGTAGCGCTAGGCCCATGTTGGCACTGCGACGAAAGGCGCCTTTTATTGTCGCCTGCGGCGCCGGGTCGGCTGGCGTGGACGGGGCCGCGGCCGGATCATGGGCCGGCTGCTGGATCGCGGGCTGAGCAGTAAGTTCCGCAGAGGCATTGGTGCCTGCGGAGAGTGGGCACCCGCGCCCATCGCTTGGGGCTGGCGAAGCTGGAAGCTGCTGGGCTCGTGCTGCCGATCGAGTGTTGTAGCGCGCCTGCGGCGGAGGAGTCTTGTTTGGGCCCTTTTTGACAGCAGCAGAGACTGGCCGCAGGGTGCTCCTGGCCGCGGCCGGCACAGACTGCATCTGCTGGGGCGCGTCTTGCACTGTCTCTAGCGCCGGGGTTATGCTGTTACGAGGGACGTTTGATGGCTGCGAGTCTGGTTCGGGGTCTGGGTCCGCGCCGCCTGCTTGCGCCGTTGGCAGCTCCTCGGTGGCCTGGCGAGTGTTTGTCTGGAGAGCGGCATCGCCTTGACAAACGCCTGCTTCCCAATCGTTTCTAGGCTATGTCCACCCCTGGCGACTAGACATGAACGTAAGGAACTTCACTCCAGACGCTGTTATGTCCCGCTTGCGGGGCCACTGCTCTTCATCGGCGGACGCTTGGAAAGATATGTCGTTTCCAGCCAGGTCAGTGACAAAGTTCAAGTCTGCCTTGTTGATGGCATTGAACGCACGGGGCTTTGGGTTTGCATCCCGGTAGTGCTCGTAAAAGCGCAGCAGTTGCCGTGCACGCAGCTCGCACACTTCGTTGGCGACGAGCTCTGCCATGGGCCTTATTTTCTATATGTAGGCACATTTTCCGCCTGCTCGATTCCTGTTCCTTGCCTGCACTCCCCGCTTTGTGAAGTCGTAGATCTCGAGCCTGCATATGCTACAAATGCACTGCGTTTACTGCCGTTTGGCACCACGGGCACTACCTCCTGCAGCTTTGTCCTCGACCCAATGAGCTTCCGTCCCAGCATTTCCAACCAGGGAAAGTAGATCGGGAGACTACAACAACGCTGCATGCCCGGCGAGACAACAGCACGGCGGCAAGCTCAAGTTCGAAATATGGTAACGCACGACCAAGAGATGCCGAGCCTGGCGTGCTCATGACCAAATCGTCGACGGCCTCGTCCTCCTCGCCGACGTCGGTGGCTAGCCGACTTCAACAGCTCATGCCTCATGTCCTACTACGGCTTGGCAAACCTACCAACCTCGCCTGGCTTAGTCCAGCACCCCGGCGTCCTGCACAAAGCCACTCTCCCCTTGCCAGCCTCGTGCAGCCGTCGGGGGCTTTACAATGGCTACCGGAAGACGGAGCCCAACGATGGAAAGAGAGATACACAGGGACTCGGGCAGTTGTCTCACGCGCTCGAGGTAAGTCGGCGTTTCGACGTTGTCATCTCGTCTCCGCGCTGGCACTAGAGGAGATATGCTCGGGGAATCCCCATCGACTGCCCGGGCGGCGACAGTCCCCAAGCTCGCCCGTGACTTGCTAGTATCACCGCGCGGGGCCATCAGCCCGGGCCGGCACTCGGTCTTCAAAATTCTGGCGTTCGAATCAAACATTTGTGGGCTTGCTAAAGGCCAAAACTGTGGAGCGATTAGGTCCGGCCAGGACTCATACACTTTGCCGCAGCAGATCCTGTGTCACGCCTGTTCGCCACGTTTGTTAGTGCGCCTCCGTTTTGACGTTTCCAGCCTGCTACGCGGGCGGTCCAACATACTATCCGAACCAAGTCTGTCCGCTATTTGGAATGGCGGTGGTTGGCAGCAACCATTTTTCCTTTTTCTTCTTGTCTTTTTCGCCACCCGGCCCGTCCTCTTCGACGATTGCTAGCACAAAACGCAGCCGCTGTCCGTGGCTCCCCCTAGGCGGGCGGCGCTCGCACTTTCGCTGCGACGACGGGCCGCTGCAACGAGGCGACCTCCCCAGACGAAGAGTTGGAGCGCGTGCGGCTAGCGCATGAAAGTGACGAGAGCATGGGCTTTGTGCTTGGTCGGGATCCAAAACGACGAGGCTCGAAAGGAAGGAGTGTTAGGGCAAGCGACCATTCGAAAGCATGCAATCGAAGCTGGAAAACCGCCCCCGGTGGGATGAAATGGTCTGTTTCCTGAGGGAACAGCACTATAGTCTTTGTTCGTCGGTATAAAAGGTAGATACCAAGTCGGACGAATGCCGTGACGTGGCTTGAAGTCGATGGCAAAGGATAGACAGAACGCTTCTTGCGCACTAAGCTGGAGGTGCTCTCGGTCCTTGGGATTCAGGGGCCGACCAGACCCACGACGCCGCCAGCAGGCCCGCCGTAACATCCCGAGGAGCCGGCTCGCGTGTGTATGCTGGAGTTCCCTTTGCATGCCGGACCTTGCCGCCGCCTGCAGGCTCGAGCTCGGATTCCCAGTGGAAAAGGACAGCTGACGGGCACTTCACCAGCGCGTTGTATGCCGCTCTCTCGACAACCCGGTTGCGCTTGGGCTCGCAACCGCATACGTGCCGCGCGGGCAGGATGCCCAGGACCAGGTGTCTAGGTCGGCCAACCGGCGCCTCAACGAGCGAGAGCACTCTCGGCTACGCACACCGACCGCACCGCGCCGACTCGGCACACATCGAAACCACATTATATCGGTGCGCCACAGCGGGGTTCCCTGCCGCGCCGCCGGCCAGCCTCTGGCGTGCCAGCCACACCGTGCCGTCCCTCTCGCATGGGTCGGGCGGTTTTGGATCGCTGTCGAGCCAAGGCTGTAGTGCGGCGTGCAACAGCAACCGACGCCTTTATCCCCACAAGAGTTGGGTCTGCGACGCTGCGACGGTAAGGCTTTGTCATGCGCTGCGAGTCTCGACGCCGGCACCACTCCCTTAACTCCTACCAGAGTCTGGTATATCTGTCCCAGATGGCGGCTGTCGCCGGAAAATGTCTGCGTGTTTCGGCAGCGGCGAGAGCCGCTGCCTCGATGTGGTGGCTCTGGATCCAGTGGAAAGCTTGGCCGGCTGTCGTGCATATAGTAACAGGGAGCCGAGGAAACGCTTGGAGTTGCAACGAGGGTTGAAATCCGGAAATAATATAGGCAGCAATGACGAGGACCCAGGACTGGTTCGAACCCAGATACGACCGCTAGGCCTTTGTTCGCACTGGGCCGGCCGCTAACAACCAGCTGCAAAGCAGGCGGTAGAGATGCCACATTGGGTATTATGGCCATATATCGGTGGAAAGCAAACGGACCCGACGGCGGTAAAACAAGCGCGCGTTAGGCGGCTGGCTGGGCTGTTGGGATTTGATGACCCTGGGCTGGATGGGGTGGCGGGTGCCCGGGGCCGAAGAAATCGTGCGGCAGGTTCACGTTACAGACTACAAGTGCCTGCCACAAATCCGTTGGGTACTCCTTGCGGCAAACGGGCGCACGGCCAGCCCATTAAGCCTGCGTTACTTCCGCGTTTTCCAGACCTGCGCACAAAGATGAAGACGGAGGGGGGTGCCTGGGTAGCTCAGGGGTCGGGGGCTACAGTCGTGGCTCCTGTCGTATCGGCACAAGAGGCCGCCCCCGCGTCACATGTCCGAGGGCGGGTAGGCGGCTACACAAGAAGCCAGTGCACTTGTGTAACGATGCAAAAGCCGTGCCGTCTCGCTGGGACATCAACACGCCAGCTTGATGCCAAAGGCATGGTGTCCAGCCGTTGAACCTCTGGAGGCTTCCAATCACGGGGTAACCATTGGCATTGGGGAGAGGCCAGAATTACGGCCAAGTGAGTGAGAGTTACGGCGCTCCCCGGCAGGCGAAGCGGTCCCTTTCCCTAAGCCGGAGAGGTGCCTGGGTCGGCAAGCAGCGGCGGTAAAAGGGGCCTTTTCTGGGCTGTGCGTCAGCTGAGCGAGCTTGAAGCTCGACTAGTCAAACAAATGCTACGATGACCTGGCTGCTGGCGCGAAGACACGGCCGGCGACCGAGCCTGCCGTGGAGGAGCAAGGATATGCGCAAGAGGGAAGCTTGACGCCCAGCCCGGCAGATATCGATGCGGCTGAGTGCGGCCCGCTTGGGCCAAAAAGCTGCGTGGGCCACAGAGCTAGGTACTTTCCAGCAGCCTTGGCTGAAAGCGCGGGGGCTGCCGGCACGACGACGACGACTTCCACGACCAAAACCACGGAACGCCGTGCTGGGTAACGACTGCAGGCCGCCCGTGGTCCGAGGACAGCTTTACGAACGATAAAAAGACGGTGACGCCGGGCCGCAAGGGTATTAAAGCAGGTGTGTACCTGTTAGACGAGCACAAAGCCACATGCACGGCTGGACGACGGCCAGCAGGTCCCTCTCTTCCCACCACAACCGGGCCGTAGCTCGTGCTCAAGGTCGCTCACCAACTACCAACACAAACCAACGACGACCATTTTCAAAGTCGGCATACCTGTCTCGTACCCAGCACGCGCAGACCTGAAGCCCCAATCCCGACAAACGGCCCCAGTGGCAATGAACGACGACATCAGGGTGCCCTTTGGGGCGCCGGAACACACCATCGAAGAGGACAAGATTTGGATCAATACCTCGCCCAAAACTTTCAATCACCCCAAAAAGATGTGAACCAGCCATTGGAAGCGATTCAGCACCATCGTCATCCCGCTACAAAGCGTAAAGTCGTACTTTAAAGACGCCGCCGCCGCCGCCCGAAAGGCCGAAACGCGTGAGGAGCTCGAAAAGCTTCTCGTCGCAAAGTACAATCAACGCGTCGATGAGCTCTCGCGTGCTGCGTACGCCATGAGCGACATTGCGTGGGATAAGGACAAAGCCTTACCCCGTCGTGCTCGCGGCGCGGCCGATTGGGCTGGGCGTTGTCCTTCTCTAGAGCGTTTTGCGGAGCTCTTTTACGAGGGCATCCTTGCCGCAGAAAAGGATCGCGAGAGCGTCGAGGTGGCCCCGAAACCCGAGGTCTTTAGCGAGTCAACCCGCTTTAGCCAGCACCCCCCGTCTTCGCCTCCGGACTGGGACGAGCGTGTCGAGGAGACGCGAAAGGGCTACGCCTGGACTCGGAACATCAGGGAGCTCGACGACGACGAGCCGCTATCCGGTCGGGCCACGCCACCACAGCATATATTCAGGTCGCCACCCGAGTCCTGGGACGACTAGACCGTGGACGGACGGGGCAGATGGTGGCACAAGGACGCCAAACGGCCCGAACCCCGCGAATTTGCCTCCAAGTCCCCGGCCGCCGCACAACCCGACATCCAACTCCCGCATGCAGTTTCCCACTCGGACAGCACGACGACGGCACCCGATCCCAAATCAGCTCCCAGCTCCTCGGTGATGTCCATTTCCGACCCGGCCACACGCACGCCCGATAGCCCCAGCCCTAGCCGAGATGCAGGTCTAGGCACACGCGCAACAAGAGGTCCCGCCACCGGTGAGGAAACCCGCGCCGCTGCTGCCGCACATGCGTACCCTAAGGACGCGGCGGCGTCGTGTTCGACGGCTAGCACGCACGTCAGACCCGGCAAAGCGGCGGGCCCGCCCGCCACGCCGCCGGCGTCGGCAGACGCAGCAGTCGCAACCGCCGCCGAGGGCACAGTCGGCGACGTGGCGTCTCGCCGCCGGCCGGCTGGCGATGATGATGCTGGCGCAAACAGGAAGAGGCGCCGCTCCGAGGGCGCAGCAAGCGAGCATCAGGACGACGGATCTGCACGGCCGCCCCGGAAGCGGCAGGTGCCTGGCGATGGGCGACTCGAGGATAGATCGAAGTAATCAGAAAAGCCATGTATCGACGGCCTACGAGCAAAAGGAGTCGGGCTTGGAGTGGCCGCAGCTTTCACGACAGGATCCCGGCTTGGCGAACCGGCCGAGGAATCACACAAGGAAAATTGTATTTTTTTTTAGCAACCGAACCCAGTCGGCGGACCACCACAGCGCCATCTTGACGTAAGAGATACGGCATTAGCTTTGTGGCGCTGGCACCTCTTCAATGCGGGCGTTTTCCTCGCCGCCTTCTCTTATGGCCTATTTCATGAGGCTACGGCCGCCCCGAGAGTCTCTTTTTGCGGTAGCCTGTAAGTTCACAGCCACCCCGGAGTCTCTCGCCAGCTTCCAAGCCACCAAACCAGCCTGCCCAGAGTTTATCCTTTCGTCTCCGAATGCAGCTTTCGAATAAGCAACCAGCAGCTTTGGGACTAACCTAAGCGGGAGCTTAACATGGGATTTCGAGTTTTTGCCCCTATAAAACCCCCGTCTGTCCTAGCCGGCACCAGCTTCCAGTTTTAGAAAGATGGAAGATAGGATATTTGTTGCGCTCTGGAGCATCAACGTGAAGATCTAGGGGCCAGATCTCTACCTCCGAGCAATCATCTTGTATCGGACACGGAATCATGTCAAATGCCACCTTGACGCTACATGGCGCACCCGCAAAGTCGCTCCTCCCTTCTCCCCGCGCCTTCCTTTTCCAAGCAAATGTCCGGCCTAGGCGCCGTCGCGCGACTCGCAAGCTGCCCAATAGTATTCTCCCAAAACCTTGAATGCGCCACACAGCCGGGCAGTAGGAACCCTTTCTTGTCGATCCCAGAAGCTTGATAATACCGCCATGAGCCCTTCATCACAGTTCGCCCGACCGGAGACGGCGTGTCCTTTCCGACGTGGCCTAAATCTGACATTGCGCCGCATTCGCTTCCAGCACGCGTGGCGCAAGACTGTCTCTCCCCCCTCACTACAAGGCTCGAGATTCACGCCATTCGCTGGTGTCGCCCAATCGCAACCCTTCTTGGCTGCGCCCAAATCGCCTTCGCTCCTCGCCGGCTCGAGCATGTCCGTCAGGCGTCGGGAGAGTTGCGCCACGCTCAAGCCACGCTCAGCACTCCAGCACCGGACAAGCATCGCCGACCACCTAGGTAGTTATCTACCCGGGCCTAGAGCCCCATGGAACTCCGGCTCGGTCCCGCGACCGATCGCGTCTACGAATTTCCCGTCTAGACTTGCACAGCATCGGGCTGGGTGGCGCCAAAGGAGAGGGCGGATAGGCAGATGTGTGGGGAAAGGGGAGTTGGTGCATAAATCCGACCTCGCCGCTCCTGGATTTGTCCATCCCTCCACCCTTTTCATCCGCTTTCCCCATGTTGGAGGTAACTCCTACTCCGTCATCCCATCAACAGCGCGCAACCAAGACGCCTGCATGAGCTCATCATGACGAGGTTCACAATCATACTCTGGGCTGCCCTGTGCCTGTCCATCACGTTGCTCACACAACACGTCGTGGCGGAGGGCATCCAGCAACGTGATGTCGTAGCATCGGACCGCTTTCTCGACGAGCTGCCAGCTTGTGCTGTAAGTCTCACAGGCCGAAATATATAGACCCTCACCTACCTACCTCTGTAGTGCCTAACCAAAACTCAACAGGTCTCCTGCTACGCTACCGCAAAGGAAAACTCTAACTGTCAATCTTGGGCCGAGGGCTGCATCTGCCTGAACGCGACACAAAAGTCGTTTATACTTAGCTGCGCAGGCGACACCTGCCCTGTTATCGAGCAATTCCGTCAGTGCCCAGTTTTTCTTCTCCGGCCCTGGTCCGAGTCTTGTAGGGGAAGTATTGACCCATCAACTGGCAGAAACACGAAATGTGATGGACACACTCTGTGGAATCGCTGCCAGAAATCCCGGCACCCTGACCCGTCTTATCTGCTGGGTTGGCTTTCTCGTCTCTGGCGGCTTTGTCCTCCTGCGCATACTCTCCAAGGTCACCCTCGCCGACAGCCGATCGCCCCCTTTGGCTTACTTAAGCCCCGACGACGGCCTGACCATAATGGCCTACCTGCTTTCTCTACCATGCTACTACATCGTTGCCTTCAAGCTCATCGATGCTGGGCTTGGGAGAGATCAGTGGACTCTGACTCCACAACAAGTTAACGACTTTTCGTATTGGCTCTATGTCATGGAGCCGATATACCTCGCCACCATCTGGTGTATCAAGGCCTCGTTCCTCTATCTCTTCATCCGTCTTTTCGCTACCGGGCAAAGCGAGCGTTTCTGCCTACGAGGTCACCTGAAGCTGCGTCACGCCCTCTGGGGAACCGCCATTGCCAACACGCTTTACATAAGCTCATTCATCATCACCTTCATCTTCCAGTGCACACCCATCTCGTTCACCTGGACGAAATGGCAAGGCCAGGCTGAGGGAACATGTGTCAACGTCAACGCCGTCATCTGCACCCACGGCGCCTTGGGCATCACGTTCGATCTTTGGATTCTGTATATGCCCATGTCGCAGCTGTCGGGCATGCATCTGCCTGGTCGGAAGAAGTTGCAGGTGGGCTTGATGCTGGGCATCGGTGCTATGTGAGTACAACCTCGGCGCAGACTGCACGCTTAGCTATCTTTCCGCCACCATGTGCCAGCTTACTGACATGCGGAAATGCCCGCTCACCGTAGTGCTACTTTGGCCAGCTTCCTTCGGCTACAGGGGATAGCGACATACGCCGCGTCGCTCAACGCCACACGGGAAAACTACAACAGCACCGCATGGTCGCTAGTGGAGATCAGCATTGGCATCATCTGCACCTGCCTGCCAGCCACTCGTCTTCTGATTATACGGGTTATACCTGATGCTTGGCACCGCGTCCAGGGCAAGCCACCGCGGCCGGTGTCGGCGCAGACGCACGCCACGTTCCGACCAACATCCACGCTCCGACCGACGTCAGTCGCCCAGCCGACGCCCGGACAGCCACGGCATTCACGCAGCTCCGGATTCCGCAGCAAAGTTCAGAAGCCGATGTCGACCTTCACCAGGAACTGTAGCACCAGCAAAAACTTTGGATCAGATACCAATGATGGCACTGCCAGCTTTGCTCGTCAGCCAAGTATAGCGGACTGCCCGGCGGAGAAGGCCGCCAGCCCAAAGGAAGGGCCGACCTCTTCAGAACCCATCGAGCCGCTAAGCGTGGCGCTGGCGCGCATTTCTGATGATAAACCGGCCGGCCTGGTGGATGAGAAGGAGGGCACACTGGCACCAAGCGGCGACGGCGGTCTTCTTGGCCACCACCCCAGTGCGGCCGCGGTACCTAGCGAGTCTTCCGTGACTCTGACGCGCCCCTTGACTCCAGACTACTTCAGTGTACGCATAAATGCGCGAACGGCGACCAGGCGAGCCGCCAAGGCGGCCGCCAAGCAGCGCGCCCTGCCCTCGCCCTCGGAAGAGCCGAAGGAGCCGCAGCAAGAACAGGATCAGAAATCAGTCGACGCGGTGTCAACGCCCCTGACACCGGCAAAACTAGGCAAGGCTACTGCCACAAGCATGGACGAGACGGCGGAAGGGGTGGTCGGCCTGGGACTCACTTGCCCAAGACCTGCCCATACCGCCTCCGGCAGCACAGTGGAGGGAACCTATGAGCCGCAGCAGGCGGTCGGCCCGCGGCAGCGGATGAACCCGTCGGCCCGCCTCTGCTTGTCGCCGCTGCCTTCTACCTCGGGCTGGGACACTTTCGGTGTCGCAGAGTCCGACTCGCCAGGCTCGTCACCGGATCCACAGGGGGTTCACGCTCATTCTCCTCTTGGGGACTAGGACGGCGGTGATATGTCCATGTCGCTTTTTTTTTTTTTTTTTTTTTTTTGCTTTTTTCTATTGGTTTTTTTAGTCACGTACACTTACCTTCTTCTTCATGTCGCAACCACCCGACTTGTTCTGGTTACCACTTCCCTTGCCCTCTTTGTCCAACTGCTGCTTGCCGCTTGTAACACGTTTCTAGGACCATGAGCCGTTAGTCACTCGCTCTCTAGCATGCTTGTTTGACATGCACAGTCTCGTTTGTTTTTGTTTTCTGTTGTAGAACGCCGCAGCTGAAGCTTGAGAATTCTCCCACACGAGAGGCAGAAATAAATCAGACAGCCAAATCTAAATTAGCAATTAGCATGGGCATGCGGTGCAATGCAGGAACACACTGACAGCAACACGTCACTGCAGAGGCCCTCGAGGCGGACATGCGGCCATGCCCAAAATGGCTAGAACGGGGAGGGGAGCGCCTTGGAGGGCGGAACGGTGGCAAGAAGGAGAATTCGGAAGAAGAAAAAGGCCCCGAGGAGGATTGCCAATTGATTGATTGGTTTCGAGCTTGGACGAAGCAAAAAATAAAAATAAAATAAAAACCAGAAAGGGAAAACCGCCTGATGGGATTTCCCAGGAAAGCCAATGAAGGGCCGGCGAGCGCTTTCTTGTTTTTCCTCTTCCCCTTTTGGGCAATCGCCCAATTCCGGGTTTGGACGCAGGCTAGCTTCGTGTGTTTTTTTCACGGTTCCAGAAGCTCGGTCAGAGAGCTGGGGAGCAAGGGTGTGTAGTTGCACAGCCCACACACACAAGGGCCGCCCGCCAGCGGGTTTTGTTTTTCCTTCGAGGCAGGCAGGCAGGCAGGCAGCGACCGAACCCTGTCCCTGCTGGCTTGCCTTTTTCCCGGACGCCGGAAGGCTTGGCTGAACGTGTGTGTGCTGGTGTGTGTGCTAGTAGCGGGCGGATGGATGAATGGACTGCCGGTGCGTGTGTCTCTATGGGTGTTGTGTTTGTGCGTGTGTGTGGTGGACTAGCAAAGTGCGTTTTGATGAGTGTCGCTACGTTGCGCGTGTGTGACCTGCCCCGTCTGCAGCCGCCTGCAGTTCTGTCAGGCGAAAAGGCCTCCATCGGATTGGACGCCGTGGGGAGGCGCATCGGCAACAACAAACCGGCGACCCTCGAAGATCGCGTGAGATGGAAAAAAAAAAATTGAAATGAAAAAAAAAAAAACCCCCTGGGAAAGGGGCGGCTAGGCGCATTCAGGGGTAAAAAGCAAGTGAGTTTCAGGGGAGGCATGTGGAAAAAAAGAAGAACGAAAGCCAAGATAAACAAGGCAACCATGACAGGCCTTAAACATCGCCGCGACAAATTGGCAGGTATAGCCTATCCGCAGCCCACGATCCTGATCGAACCGCCGATGCGCCAGGAAAAAAGGACCTTGGGCCCAAATAAGGCACATGCAGTTGGGAACCCGGGGAGAGCAACCGATCACCAGGCATCAACACAACTATGCATGCGTGCAAAGGCCAGAAAATCAAACGCTCTGATTCGATGCTACTACTACTGAGTACAGGAAGCTATGGAGAGGTGCGAAACGCGGGGTACGATGATGGGAAGTTGGAAAGGAAAATTATGCGTGATAGGAGAAGGGGTATGAGTACATGGAGGGGAAAAGGAGTCAACTTTTCCCATGCCGAAGACCAGAGAAAAAAAAGAGGAGGAAAAAAGGCAAACAATCTATCCACCATGAAAGGCGCAGGCGGGATTTCCCGCAAGGGAGCGATCCCAACTGCGCACAATGCGCGACCCACAAAGCTGATCGCCATGCGAGCATCTAGTTGACGACCAGAAAAGAAGGAAACGAAAGCAAGACAGCAAAGAAGAAGAAAATAGGACAAGTCTATAGCGTCGCAGGAGTCGAATGGTAATATGTGTTGTACATCTCCCGTGAGAGTCTGGTTCCCGAGTGGCAAGCACGTGGACGGTGCGCTGTGCCGTGCGCCCGCTGCTCGTGCTCGGCTTGGTGTTCCACGCTGCTGCGTGGTCCCTGGTGTCGCAAAACAGCCATGTGGCTGCCCGGTATACATTATGTGGGTTGCGTCCTGCACCGCTTCCGGGTGCCACGGCAAGAGAGTGTGGCAGTCCGACGTGGTCCGATGTGCGGCCGTCAGTGCCCGGGCTTGTCTTGGTCGGCTTGGTCTCGGCTGGCGGGCGTGAAGACCAGCTGGCCATGTTCCATGGTGGAGAGGGAGAGAGGGTGACGTCGAGTGGCTGGTGGATTGTTGGCACAAAGGCAGGACGCTTTACCTGTCAACCTCCATCGGCATCTCCCACGCATGCCACGACAGGAAGTCGAGCCATGTGTAGAGACAATTGTCCGGCCGCTGCTCCCGATAGAGATTCTCGATGTTTATCGGTTTGGCGGGAGCTGTGCCGTGGTGACCTTGCAGTAGCGGCAGCGGTGGTGGTGGCAGTCGTGGCAGATCGGGGTTGTCTCAGTCAGCCAGTACTGGTTGTCGTTGTTACAGTTTGAGCAAAACCAGATGGTGACGATGGTGGGGCGGGCCGGAGGCATGTTGAGGGTCGGGGGAGGAGGAATGTTTAGTAGGGAGGTGTAAGCCACTAGCTTGTTTATGAGCAAGTAATGTCACAAGATGCTATGGTAGAGACTGATGAATGTCTGTATCTCTCAGCGAGGCACCAAAACCGATAGTGGTGGATGATGCGCTTTATAACGTGATGCGGATGAAATTCGAGGGAGCCTGAGGAGAGAACTCAGGTTGTTAAATACAGAACCGCACGGCATAATCCGACCTGTGAGTTTGTGAAGAGGAAAAAGAAGAAGGTAGCTGGCAAAATGGTCCGCCTCCAGGCGTCCGTCCAAGCCCCGACGAGACCAGCCCACTTGGCTGGCGCAAGCAAGCGAAGCGCCGAAACGCAACGCTTCACCAACCTGATTAACACCACAAGTTGGTGAGGAAGGCCGCTGGCAGCGAAGGCCAGAGTCACACGGCCCCATGAGCCCCCCCACCAGGGGCGGCGTTGCCGGTGAGGCGTCAAGGCAGCGATGGCTCATGACCGGTGACACTGACCGCGCATGTAGGGCCTTATGCCAGCCATAACGGCCCGAGGATGGAGACGCCCACCCGTATCTCACAAACAGAACAACGAAACAGCGGGCCTGGGCTCCCGACACAGATGTTTGCCTTGGGTCTCGGTATTCACGTGTGCGGGAAACAAAGGCAGCCTGTTCCATGTGTGATGTAAGTAATCAGTGAGGAGGGTGTGGTTGGTAATGGGGTGCGGGAGGGGTGTGCGCCGCGCGCGGCGGAGGAACCCGGATGGCATTGTGCGCGGACGACCATCCCGCCCAGGTCGAAACGCTGCTGCGAGGAGAACAAACACCTTGCACGCCACCAAAGGTAGCAATAGGCGGCAGACCAGAGGTATGACTCTAATTCCCAAAGAGGCATGTTCGAAGATGTAGACGGAGGCGCAGGACAGCATTGTTCAAAGCTCAAAGCCAACCGGCTCGACGGCAGGGGGGTGTGGCGGGGACACCGGGAGGGAGGTATGATCCGAGACGCACCCGCCATGTGGATCTTAATCGCATGGGGGATTCTCCAAGGCAGGGATCGAGCTCGGTGAATTAAAGATGAGGAGGCCTTCCCGTGCCGAGAGGGGTCCTGTGATTGTTGTGGGCTGCAAGAAATACGTAGGCGCCACTGCAAGCTTGACTTCGACGGCAGCCCATGTTTGCCAGGGGGCGTGCAACACGAGGTATTGGCCCGTCGGTCAAGTAGGAGTGGCCCTGCGTCAGCACCAAAGAAACGAGGAGCACCGTCAGATGCCTAGGTGGGAGTTAGGGGGGTAGGGAGTAGGATTGGACTAGAAGCAAGGCTGGGAGGGTTCCCAGGTCAGGTTTCAGGTAGCAGCGGGTGTAAGTAGAGATTGACGGCGCGGAGCGACCTCTGGGGCGGCCCGCCGTCGCAGCGAGACCTGGTCACATTGTGCTGGCTCAGTCCCTCTGCTTGATCGGGCTGTTCGCGGTCGGTGTGGTTCATGGTTTTTTCCATGCTGGGAGTAATCATGATCTGCTTTCGCGACCGAGTTGTTGTTGTTGGAGGAGGAGGAGGAGGGGTGGGCAATTCGAAAGGAATCAATGGATTCGCGGGGTCCTGAGCAGCGCAAACAAGCCCAAGCTCGAAGAAAGAGCCGCATTGTGTGGCGGTGCGCGGCGTTGGCCCAGGTTGTAACGCGTATTTCCTTGGAATTTAGCCTGGGGGGCCCTTATTCCCGTCGTCATCCAATTGAACCATCCGCAGGTCTGCGGACAGGCTTGTTCCCGTAGGCATTGGGCAATTGGCCTGGGCGGCAGAGTGTTATTCGTTATTCGTGGCGCACTCAATCTCTTTCTGACGAACGGAGCTGGAGGGCAATTGCGAAGCAACAAGCTGAGTGGCCCGCGAGCACCCTCGGTAGACGTAGAAGACCACGGGACCGCTAGGCCGCTGTTAACTGACCGAGCTAGCGCGCCTTATCGTGGCCCCCTGGCCCGCCCTCCCTTATTTCTCTTTTTCCCTGATCGACAATACTTTCTCCTTTTTGTTGCGAATGACCTCCAAATCCGGGCGGTCGGCTTTGCCCAGCGATGCCCAAGGCTGATATCCTGTGGCTGGGTTGGTAACTTAGTGGACCGTCGTCGCATTGGGCCAGGCCCCAGGCTGCGAGCTCCTGCTGCCTGGTGAGTTGGTGTCCGCAGGCTCGTGGTGGCAGGGACCGTTGGCAGGGACCATGGGTTCACTCGCGTTTGGGCGCGTTGTTGGTCGGTCCAACCATGTGCGGTTGTTGGGCCCATTCGATCATGCCCAATCGATCGATTGCTCCGCGAGCGCGTGCCATCCCAATTGACGCGAGCGCTGCCCCACACAGCGAGCTCCCCGCATAACGATTGCGATAATGACCGCAAAAGCGGGGGCTGTCCCCTTGCTTGCCTCCAGGCCTGCCAGTCAGAGAAATGGCCGCGCGCAAGGCAGTGGCCGCGTGCTCGCTCGCTCGCGTCGGTCGTCATGCGCATTCTTGGGTCCGGTAGGAACCCCCGTGAATCCCCGCGCCTGTTGCGTCTGGGTGTCGTGCCTGTGTGTCGTCCCTCAGGATCACCGAGACCTGGGGTTGGTGCATCTCCGAGGTTGATTGACTCACGGAACGGAGGGCAGAGCCTCAAGTTCATGCGTGGCCGTGGCATGGCTAGGCCAAATGCCCACAGGCCGCAGCCCGGTGACTCGATAGAGTCGCATATCTTCAGTCTCGCGTCATGGCGAATAAGAGGCGCCACGATCCGGGAACCTAGAACTTGTGCCAAGAAAGGCATGTTTGGTAGGTAAGTTAGGTCGTAATCTCTGTGGTCTCAACTCGCCCCGATTCACTCGGCGCACCCACCACGGCTTTCTTGCGGCTCTTTTGAGAGACCGTGGTTGACCGAAAACGTGAAGTGCAGCAAGGCATAAGCTCTTTTCAGCCTAAGCCAGCCACCGGTGACCAAGTAGGTATTCGGAGCAATATTCCACCGGATATGACACAGCATTTCGGTCCTTCTCGGTTGACCCTTGTTGCGACGAGGTCGTCATGACTTATCGGTCCAAACCGGCAAACAGACCGGCATGAGTGTCGAGTTATTACTGTTGATGGTCCCTGAAAGTGTAAGGTTTGCCAATGATCTGAGTGGATGAGCCGTCTCCAGGTTTGATTGTGTCCTGGCCGAATAAGGAGCTGTTTTGATCTGTGATAGTGCAGTTGGCCTTGTGGCTTGGTTTGTTGCTCGTCTTTGTGTTGGGCATTGCTATAACGTCGTTTAAACTGGTTCCAGTTCGGTTGGCCTTGTGGCTTCTTTTGTTTTTCGCGTCTGTGTTTGGCCTGGTGCTTGTGTCTAGTGAACTGTGTTCATACTTCGGCGGCCAGCCTTGGAACAGCCAGATGCCTGGATGGATCCGATCCAGGTGTCAGGTATCTGTTTCTGGGGCAGTTTGTGGATGTTTGCTGACTTGCCCGCAGCGGGTCGACAACCACAGGTGAGACCGCCATTCGTGGCCACCGTCGAGGCATGAGTTCCTGGACTCTTCAAAAGAAGGGCGGCACAGGGGAGCATAGGGGGCAGGCCAGTAGGCATATGTAGCCGGCGGACACGTTAAAGTGATGCGGCTCTGCTCCGGGGGCCAAAGGTGATAACCAGCGACCTAGATAGAACTCGGGCGGCCCGGGACCACACCCTTCGTCAGCCACCAAGGCCTTGCTCTCCCAGACAGGCGGGGACGCTAGACAACCTGAGCATGTGAGCAGTTTAGTGGCACCTAGAGCAGACTGTGGACGTGGTGTATATGTGGACTTGTGCATTGGGACTTTTGTAAGACCCGGTGCGAGCCCAGCTCATCACGGGCAGACGGCTATGGAGGGTGTCAGACCGGGGAAGAAATGGGCAAAGCTGAAGCAAGCTGAAGATTCCTTGACGAACACCTGGCCCCATTCCGGGCGTCTAGCGTGGTTCTTTGCGAGCCACCCTTGACGCCGCACACCAGCCTCGGGCTGACTGGCTTGGCTGTCGTCTCGAGGATTTAACATCCAGCCGAATTATTGACACACTCGCCGCCAGGGTCAGATCGGCTGTCATGACAGTGCCCTCGGTGATTTAGCATCCAGACGGGCGATGCCCTCGCCGCCAGGATCAGATCGGCTGACATGGCTGCCTCTTCGAGAGGTCATCCAGGCAAGTAAACCCCTCGCCGCCAGGAGTAAGGCCGGTCGGTATGACTGTCTCTTTGAGAGCCGAGCATGTAGACGAGCAACGCCTTTGTTGTCAGGCATCAGGTCAGCTTTCCCAGGTAAGAACCGTGCAAAGCTTTCAACGCAGATGTGTCATTGTAGGCATACCGCCACGACACCTCCCTGGCGCAGAGCACCGAGGAGCGATGCAGCCGAGCCGCAGGGCATGAGGCGCGCACCAGATATATCGAGGCGATGCTCCGTTCAAGACACCCAGTACCCAAGCTGCTGTTTCAAAGTTCGAGCAACATCGAATTAAGTGGCTGAGGCTTCCGGCCTCTCATTTTAGGACCAGCACTTCGGTCCAAGTGACTTCTCGGCGGCCAAGAGGGTACCCGCAAGGTCACCCTTCATCCTCAAGGGAAGCCTGGCGACATGGGCATGACCGACCGGGCCAGGGCAGCCTAGCACGGCTGCTCAAGATGTGACCGATGTCGACACTTGGATAACAGAGCGGCGGCCGATACCAAGCAAAGGCTGGGTAACCGGGTGGCCGTCCCGGATTGTGCAGATCTAACTGGTCAGGCGGGAGTGAAACCGCCCCCAACCCCAGCATCGCGTGTGCGTGTATGGCAGAGCCGCAAAGCCGGGCTGGGAAAGAGCCTCAAAGCAAGACGTGTCGTTTTTGCCTGAGGCCAACCCCGAAAGCATCACAATGTTGTCCTGAGGCCGTGTTCCCAAGCGTGGCCTCGGTGTTCAACCTGAGGCACCAACCGTCGTCTGGAGCCTGGCACAGAAGTACAAGGCCTGAGGCACGAACCGGCTGTGCCTCGCCAGTTTCCCCGAGGCCTGTGATGCAACCTTGATCAGGACCCACAACTGTGCGACCGAGGCTGACGGTCTGCAGGCACAAGGGACAAGGGGCCATTCTGAGGGGCCGGTGTCCGCGATGATCGGAATGCCCAGAGTGAAGCGGTCGACTTTGGCGAATTAATTTTCTGTTTTGTTTTTGTCCTTTGCTGCATTCCCGGGGAACACGGCAAGCCACGAGCGGTCCCCACCCTGCAAGTGGGGCATCAACCGACGGGCACTGGAGCCGTGATGGGGACGTGATGAATATCCCAGGATGCATCTGTTGGGGTTGGGGCCGAAGTCGCTCCAGGAAAGGAAAGCCGCCGTCGATATGCGAGCTCGTTATGGGGGAGGGCCCGCGGCTGGGCGGGTCGGATAAAAAAAAAAGTAAACCTCTGATCCAAAGCTGGCAAGCATCTCACTCATCATTCAGGCAAGCTGGCACGCTGGATACGAAGCACACCTCCGGAAAGCTCAAGGAGAAATCCATGTTAGCACACACGGCGCGCTGCACACGGCACACAGCACACGGCACGCTCGCCTGCGCGTGCCTTAGCTGAGATAGGAAGCCCCGAGTAGGCTACGGCTGACGGGTGCATCGCTTACCGCCACTGTCTGTTATTCATCCAGGGATTGCACATTTTTCTTTCTTGGTTCCGTAGCGGTCGCGGCTCGCAAATTGCAGATAGCTTTTGGTCTCGTCCGACCGCCACGGCCGAATAAGTCTTCCACCCCCTGTCGACCAACCCATCCATTCTCAGCCACGCATCCACCCACCCACCTTGTCCTAGGGTTGGCTCTATGGGATGACGGATGGCGCGCGTGCTTGAAGGGAGAGCGGCGGGTGAGCTGATGTGGGGCCGCTCGTCGGTCCGCCGTGTGTCGTTGCACGGCGTCTGATCCAAGGGCCAACCCCATCCCAAGGTCGGTGTTTTTCCTGCTTGCCACAGTCCGATTGTCCCACACATCGAGACAGGGGCCCGGCCAGGGCAAGGGAGAGGGGTGTTCCTGACAGCGCGAGGCGTGGGGAGGGAGGACGTCAGCAAAAGCACGCAGCACGCAGCACGCAACGCAACGCAGTCAGGGCAAATCAGGGCCAAAAAGACCTGGCCCAGGCCCCGGGCGGGCTGCCTGCTCTGCTGCACCGAGGAACCCAACCTGCGTGGTGGGTGGGGGTTCCCACGCACGCATGTACGTCCCCTTCTCTCGGTCCGCCCAGCGTCATCGATTTCCCGTCGACCAGACCCGGGACCGCCTGGGCTGCACTCTGGACTGGCGGTGATACGACGAGGACCGGGCATCTACCTGCGCCACCAGGGAGAAGGTGGGTGTGAAGAGGGATGGATGGGACACGGATGAGTGCGCGGAAAGGCACGCGGGGATTTGTGACCTCTAAGTTTGCACGTATATGGTCGTGTTATTTGTACCAGCCATGCACGGGTCTTGTGTTGGTGGTTGCGTCCGTTTGTGTCTTGGTTTTGATGAGGGTTTATTGCCATCACCCCTCCCGTTCACTGTGTTGTGTTCAGCCCCAGGGAGAGACGGGGAGAAAAAAAAAGAGAAAAACCTGCACACGGGAAATCACAGCCCATCACGTCTTGCACCAACACGCATTCGGAGTCGCGTCCGGGCCCCGGCTCCATGGCGCGCCCTCCTAGATCCCACGCTATTCCCCTTTCTCAAGGGCGCCGTGTGATGCCGCCCACATGGCCCGCTTCGTTGGGACGGGATCAAGTCAGTGGTGGGTGCGTCCCGCTTTTTCTCGCTCCTGTTTCGTTTACTCACGCGTCATTGGCCACTGGCTGACTGACCAGCAGACCACCAAATTCCCGGCACCTGGAAGGAAGAAGCGGGAAACAGAGGAGATAGCGAGAAAGAAGAAGAAAAAACCTGTTCTCGGTCACCGCCCGTTTCTGCATCTGCCGGGCTGTCCTGTCTCCATATAGGCGACGGTCTTTATTGCCCAGGATTTTCATAACCGAGGGACAGGAAGCGCCAACTGTCTAGTGTCCTCCAAGGGGAAGGGCGAGGGTGCTGTAAGCTGCATCACGCACCACGACATGGGGGCCGTTGCTTCGGTTAGGCACGATAGGTTACGTCGTACTGGCGCTAGGGGCGACAAGAGCGGTGCTTTTTCTGCTCTGCTCTAGCGCCCCCCTTGGCGTGTCCCGAAGGGCCACCTCCAGTTCGCCGTTCTGTCTCGTCCCCATCACCCCCCTCCCCAGAACGGGACAAAAGCTCCATGATGCGGCAGCAGAGCTGGTCCTGCTCCCGCGACGCAGCTGTACACCGCTGCTGTGTGCCGCTCGCATCTTCCTTCCGGTTGGCCAGCCTGGGCTGGCAATGTGTGATGGGAGAAAAAGGCATGCATGGTGCGCGCTGCCAACAAGACGGCCTAGGAGCCAGGAGGTGTGTGCGAGGAGAGCGAGCAGCAGCACTTCCCCTTTCCAGTGCTTCTCCCATCCAACCGTCCACACCTCCGGCTGCGAAAGCGCGAGCGGACCGGAGCTCAACAAGATTATGCTAGGGCTCATCCTTCTCATCAATTTCATGTTTCCCTTGCATTACTGCTATCAATACCATTATCATGACGAGCACCTTGCGTGGGCATCGGTACTTTTTACGCATCACATCGGCCCATGCCACCGATGCTGCTGTGCCGCCTAGGGTTCCATATCGCCCCTTGCGCGTGCGCCCTGTGCCGATGATCCCCCTCTCAGCCGTGTCCCCATCTTGACGCTGGAAGGATTCCTGCTCGTTTTCGTCACTTTCTTGGTCGACCCACCGGTTTGTTGTTTCTTCTCGAGCTGCCCGCCGTGCATGCGCGATGTTTCTTACCGGGGCCCCGAAATAGGCAAGCCCTCCGCTTTTTTTTTTCTCGGCCTCTTTTCTCTCTCGCTTCTGGCCACCCCGCTTGCCGCGTGGTGCAAGGATGTCACGCCAGCACGGTACGGTCCTCAACGTCGGGCCTTGCTTCCCGAGGCCTGCCATCCCCACCTGCCTCGTGCGCTGCTGCTCGTCGGCCGTATACAGGTTTCGTGAGATGGATACATTGTCGATATGAGAGCACATGTGCGCCTGGGTGCCCAATACAAGCAGCGACATAACTCGGCAGGCAGGCAGGCAGGCAGGCAGCAAGCAGTCGGGTTGGCAGTTAGGCTAGCAGGGCATGGCAGGCAAGAGCGCGGCAGTGTCGCAGCAGTCCCAGACCGTCCGAGGCGGGAGGCGGTCAGTCGGATCAGCCACGCGGCAAGTCCTGGGGTTGTGCCAGGAATTAGCGAACGGAGCTGGGGTCCTTGGTTCTTGCGGTGTCGGAGTCTTGCGCTCGGCTGTGGCTGCGTGGTTGGCCATCATATCCCCATGGCGGGCTAGCTAGCGGCTCGGCAGACAGGTCGGCCGGCTTCGATTTCCCTCTTTCTGTCGGCCGATAGCGTCAGCCGCCGCCAGGTTCGCCTTCTCCGCACTCCATCTCGGTCGCTGATGGGGCCCGCCGGCTGGGCCGAGATGGAGTCCATCAGCACGGGTCTCCAGGCTGCGCCTCTGGCCGGGCAGGGTGCGCAGCCGGTCAGAGATTGAGTTTAATCGCTTCCAGCAAAATCCTTCCACCCTTCTATTTTGCCCGCCCGGGACCACCCGAAAGCCTAAATCACTTGGTACCTGGACGGCGGCGGCGGGCAATCGCGGCCGCAGGGCGTAGAGTAGGGCAGCAGGGCAGCTAGCCTGCCTGGCCCGATCAATAGCACACGGCAAGTGAACAAAACATGCACAAAATATTGGCCTGGGCCCCGTCGCCCGCTCCCGGCCAGCCCATTCCCAGCCCAGCCAAGCGTCAGGCAGGACCGCGGCAGCCGCAGCCGCCGCCAGGGCGGAGCCCCTGCAACCGCCGGCGCCGCCAACGCCAGCCAGAGAGATGAGGGTGGTAGAGAGAGGGGAAGGGAGGGAGAGAGATAGAGAAAGAGGGGAGTGAGAGGTCGAGAAGGAGCGAGAGAGAAGGAGGAAGAAGGGGGACAAGGGGAAGCGCAGCCGCACCGAATTTCCAAAAGGCGTAATGCGTGACGCGTGATATGGTACTGCACAACCTGCATTTCGCTGTGCCACAATTCTGTCATAATCCCAACACCACCACCACCCCAAATCTTGCCCGGCGGCCGACGGCAGGGAGTGCGCCTAGGCAAAAAAGGACTGACTGGCAAGTATCGGCGAGGTAGCTCTTGTATCCTTATTTTTCTGAACGCCAAGATGGTGCGTGAGCTGCATGCTACTTTGGACAAGGTCGTATCAATGCTCCGTCCCGTTCCTTCCTCCTGAGGTACCTCGCACCGTGGATGCTGCTCCACTGGAGATGAGATCCACACACACCACACTTTTACACACACTCCAGACCTTTGTACTTTCATGACATACCAACAACCGTCTAGGAAAGAAGAGGGGGAAGAAAAAAGAAAAAGAAAAAGAAAAAGAAAACCCCATTTCTCTGTACACCCCCAACCTAGCTCCGCCATGCTCAATATGTGTAGCGCAAGGTGTGGTGTGTGGTAGCGTAGCTCGGTACCTACCAGGTGGCCAGGGCAGCACGCTGTCGTTAGTTGCACCCGCCTCGCACGTTCATGTTGCTCACCCCCTCGCTCGCACTCTGAATCGCAGGACCATTGTCCTGGCCGGGGAATTCGGGCAAGCGAGGCGCGACGACGCAGCATCGGAGAGCTAGCCCCGGCTCCGAGTGTGGGTGGCCGTCCTGCCCGCTGCCTCCCTTCTCTCCTCCTCCTCCTCCTCCTCCTCTTCCCTTGTGCTATTTTTGTTGCCTGCCGAATGCCGCAGGTTGGTACAGCCTTGAGCGACCGAGGAGTGCGAGAGAGAGTGAGTCGAGTAGAGACACAACCCGAGCTGGAGGGAAGAGATGGGGGAGTCGAGGGTACCGTATGTCTTGATTCTCAATCCCCTATAAAGACGTCAGCTCCCACCCCATCTGCTCTTCCCTCCTGATGACCTGCTTCCATCCTCCCGTCTATATCCGCCGACCCTTATTTGCGCTCGCCTCCTCCCCCATCGTGCTAGCTCGCGAGGGAACATGAGACGGGGCGCTTTGCCACATGGGCTCTTCTGAAAAAAACCTCGTTTGAACTTGTCTCCCGCGAATCAATTCGTACCTGAAGTATCACCAGCCCCGGGCCCAGCCCCAGCGCACACCACACGCACCAACCGCTGTCCGCCCCTTCCATATCTGCACCGCGGGCTGTCCGTGCCGCCCACCAGGTCCCCCACACCCCTGCTGGAAAATCCCCCACATCTGGGCCTGTGTCCACTCGGTGCCGGGCTGCGCCTTCCACGTCTGGCAGCGAGACGCGTTTGGCCCGTCTGCCCAGCATCCCGACTGGGCCTTCCGCTGTTGGGCCTCCCACAGTTGGGCCTCTTGACTCCGTCTTGGGTCGCAGAGCAGCCTATCGAGATTGATCACGCCGTCTGGACGCCCTCAGCGCCCTGCAGCCTGCTCGCTCTCGTGGCCAATCTAGTCGGCTATTTCGCGTCTTCCAAGGCCCGCCAAACTGCACGCACTGCGCGCTGCGCTGAATTGCAGCCTTCCTCGCCGGCCTGCCCGGAGCGACAAAAGGAGGGCGAGTCGATTACGAAGACCACACCCACCACACCGCATTGGGACTCCTGCGTGCCCTCGCCTGCGCCGTGTCGGCGAGCACCAACCAACCGACCTGCCACGACCGACTCTCTCCCTCTCTCCTGGCCTGGTCCTCGTCCTAGTATTGGCCCGACTTTTGGTCCACCAGTATAGCAACACCCGTATAGCTGCCTAGGTTGGCTGTCTGCATCTATCTGTCCAACAAAACTGCCCATCATCTCGTGTGTATATCCCCCTCCCCTGTCCAGTCAAGGCCCGGCCTCATCCCAGAAAAGCGTCCCCATCGCCCGTCCTCCATCCCCATCCCTCCCATCGGCTCGGCCCTTCCTCCACGAGCCAAGTCGACTTGGCCGGCCTCGCTCCGCAACACACGCTAGGGGCTCCACGGTTGGGCACCTACCATCATCCATCGAATCCCGCTGATACGAGTTGGCGGTGGCTGTGGCTGCACGCTGTCGTTTGCAACAGGGAACTGAGAGCCAAGCTGCCTCTTCGGGCCAAGCTACTGCTGTTGCTGCTTCTGCTTCTGCTTCTGCTTCTGGAACCACCCGCACGGACTGCGCCTGTCTTCCCGCTCCCGCCGGTCGCCCGCTGCCACGACCTGTTAGTGCCTACTCACCGGTCTCGACTTGTCAGCAGGGCTCCTTGCATCCCGCCGTTACAGGGGTTTCCTGCATTGGCCGATTCCGCCCTCCACCCGAGCTGCCTCAACCTGCCCTGCCACCCACGCAGGTGCTCAAATACCCTTCCCATCCATCCTCGGCATCCTTTTCTCCTTTCCTCCTCTGCACCATCCCGCCTCCCGACAACAACGGCCACATACCCGCCACCATGTTCGGGCCTGCCGCAAGCACCCAAAAGGTCACCAGGGTCGTCACGGGCGTCATCCCGCTAATCCTAGTCGGCTGCGTTGCCTACTCGGCCTACGTCGTGGTGTCCAAGGTGTCGTGTAAGTCAAGTCAAGCTCTATATCCTCTTACCCCACCTCTACCCACCGTTCGAACACCCATGCTCTCGTCACTGTATCGAGCCGCACTTTGGCCCATCTCGGTTACCATCCCTGCCTGCCACTGACAAAATACACGACATCATCACAGACGGCTATTTCACTTCGCAAGGATGGAGCTCCGCGGCGCATGCTGTGACAGCGGTCCTGGCCACATCCCTTCTGCTGATGGGGCTCTCGTACACGCGCTTGTACATGGTCATCCAGACGAACCCCGGCCTGGTCCCTCTTCCCGCTCCTGCACGTCGGCAAACGGGCACGGATGAGGACGACGACATCCCCTATGACATCACTGCCATCGGCACCGAGCACAGGCAGCCCAATGACGTTGGCGACCCGGAGGTTCAGCTCAACGAGGTCCCGGGTCTGCGCCACGACTGCCCCGGCCTTGAGGCTTTCTACACCATGAACGCCTTTACCTGCGACGGCTATGGACACCCGAGATGGTGCTCGCAGTGCCGCACCTGGAAGCACGACCGCGTTCACCACAGTGGCGAGATCGGCAGGTGTGTCCGCAAGATGGATCGTACGTGACCTTCGCCGACCGTGCTTGCCGCACAGCCCACCGCCGTGTTGATTAATGCTGACCGTGGTATATAGACTTCTGCCCCTGGGTTGGCGGTATGGTGGCGGAGACGAGTAAGTTACTGTCGCTTTCTTCGAGAACCTGACACCCACAAAGCCCCGATACTGACACCGTTTCTGTCTTGCAGGCTTCAAGTTCTTCTGCCAGTTCGTTATTTACGCGGCCATCTACTGCATTGTGTGTCTGGCCAGCTCTGCCGTGACTGTCGCGGGTCAGATGCGCGCTTTTGGTAGCCAGGGTGTGGATGCCCAGGTTTGTGCCGTCATCGGCCTGGCCGGCTTCTTTGGGCTTTTCAGCTCCATGATGTCCATCACGGCAATGCGCTTCATCCTGCTCAACACCACAAACGTCGACCACATCGACTATTCCAAGAAGGTATACCGCCTTGCCATTCGTGTGGCCGCTGACGAGGCCACCTTCCGCTGCTCCACGTTTGCCCCGATTGTCAGGTACCCGCTTCCCCCGAGCGCTTTCAGGCCTACCTGGGCCGCCCGCGACGTGGGCTCCGACGATGAGACGGAAGAGGAGCGGGACCAGCGCCACGCTGCCGAGGACGAGGACGAGAGGCTTGGCCGCGCCGCTGAACTGTCCGGCAACGGCTCAACGGCGGCGGCTACGTCCCCGGTGGCCAAGACCTACTTCGCCATTGTGACGACCCGCCCTGGCGAAAATCCGTGGGACCGTGGCTATGCTGCCAACTTCCGGTCCGTTATGGGCGAAAGCCCTATCGACTGGTTTCTCCCCATCCGCCAGAGCCCCTGCACCAACGAGTGGAGCAACGAGGGTTTCTACCGCTTCGGCCCTCTCATCGAGACCCTGCGAGCCCGCCACGGCCTCCGCCGCCCCGATGAGTCGAACAGCGAGAAGTCGCCGCTGCTGTAAACCCTTGCGACTTTGAGCAAAGGGGAAATTGATGGTTCGCCCCACGCAGAGGGAAGAGTGAGCTTCCCTCTTGTGAAGACGGAACACCGGAACACCGAGCCTCCGCCTCTGTCTTTTGCGGGATAAAGAGTGCACGTCTCGCACCACCAGGAGCTCTCAAGGAAAGAAAACTCGAAACGGTAGTCAGTGTCAGTGCGACGAGGTTCGGGTGGCGCAACAGTATCAGCATACGCTGTTGCCATGGCCCAAGGCCTTGCTGTTTTCTTCTTTTTTCTCTTTCTTTTTTTCTTTCTATTTCTCCTCACCTCTTTTTACCACCTCCCCGATGGCCACATCCAATCCCAGATTGCGCACCCGTATCCATTTAGCAACACCATCGCGTACCGCATCTTTCCCACGCCATTGTGCTTTTTTGGTATTTCTTTGCTTATCGCTAGTTTTCTCTCCTTGCATTTTATTGACGCCCACCCCCTTTGGAGGAAGTGATTTGGGATGGTGGCGCCTGTAAATTCTTCCTGCCTTGGGGGTTTACTCACTGGCTTCCTTTCCTGAATGCACTCTTCTGGATACCATTTGCCGCGAAACTGTTTCTGTTGTCTTGGACAGATCTCGGACTTGCCATGTTGGCATAAATGGTCAAAAATCGGTTGCCTGTTTTTCCCTTTCGCACCCTATCGTCCTCTCTCGTACCTTTCCTTTACCAAATTCATTATTCTCTGTTCAGTTCAGATCCCCACGAGGCCATGACTTGATGTTGTCCTCGCGGGCGTGCTTGGCTGCTTGCCCATTATTGCTTATGATATCTTCCTACATGATAATCTACTGTATACGATAGTCTTTAATCCAACTCGAATTCTCCCGTTCTCTGTCGTGGTCTGATTGTGAAATGCCTCATCATCAAAATCGCCCGAAGCCTGCCGGTGACACAGGCAAATTGACTGTGGTACCACTCGCGTCTTGCGTATCCCGCAATAACTTGTCAGTGTCACGGTCGCACGCGGAAGGGGCCCGGCTTCTTGTGTAATGTAATCATCCTCTCCTCCATCTCCATCCCTGCGAACGGCGCACTGCGCGAGGGCCATGGCCGCCCCCAGGATATCCCCGCGACGCTTTGCGGGCCCATGCCTCCCCCGGACATGGCACGGTTAGACCTGTTTCCGCGCTCTAGTGCTTGTTGCCCGTCGGTGATAATGCGGCGCAGATGCCTACCTGTTTCTATTGCTTTAATGTTGCTCATGTGGCTGTCGGGGTGAGGTTCCTTTGGTTCCTTGGTTGTCAGGGCTGCGTGACTTGTCCGATTCTCATATGGACGGTCGACAACACCAGAATCGGGTAATGCACCATCCATCCTCACCTCGTTATTCCCGTGGTGCTCCTCTTCGGTTTCTGGCATGTCTACCCCGTAGATAAGAATGAGAAGAAAGCACGGAGCAGATCGGATCCCCCAAGACTCCATCCGTCCTTCCCCTCCCCCATTCTCATCCTCTCACCCGTGTCTGCCGTGCAACCACCGTCCCGTTTCGTCAGACAAAAGAAAGGGAAAGGGAAACGCCACCCCGCCGCGCACCATGACACGCCTGCCGGGTCGCACTAGACGCAGCCATCCCCGACGGGATCTCTAGGGGGTGGTGGATGTATGTGTGTGTGTGTGTGTGTGTGTGTGTGTGTGTGTGTGTGTGTGTGTGTGTGTGTGTGTGTGTGTGTGGTGGTGGTG